CACCACTCATCATACACCACTCATCATACACCACTCATCATACACCACATCATACACCACTCATCATACACCACTCATCAAACACCACTCATCAGACACCACTCATCATACACCACTCATCATACACCACTCATCATACACCACTCATCATACACCACTCATCATACACCAGTCTTCATACACCGCTCATACACCAGCTCTGGTGTCAACAGCTCAAGCTCCAGGCAACTCCAGCTCCACGTGCAGATTTCGTGGCAGGCGCAGCACTTTGTGAACCTCCATGTGCAGATTTCGTGGCAGGTGCAGCACTTTGTGAACCTCCACGTGCAGATTTCGTGGCAGGCACAGCCCTTTGTGCACCTCCATGTGCAGATGTCGTGGCAGGCGCAATACAAAATGCGTTGCGGAGAGATAGCGAAGGCACGAAATGCTGTATTTTTCAATGGAACCGGTGGCTCCGAAGCTGGCAAGTCAAGGTCTGCGGAACGACGGTTGCGAGACGGTCTCGGGTCATGCTCGGATCATGCTCGGATCCTGCTCGGATCATGCTCGGAATCGTCCGTCCATTGGGATTAGAGGTTTCACTTGTTTCTTGAAGTGAAGATTTCGTGGCAGGTGCAGCACTTTGTGAACCTCCATGTGCAGATTTCGTGGCAGGTGCAGCACTTTGTGAACCTCCATGTGCAGATTTCGTGGCAGGCACAGCACTTTGTGCACCTCCATGTGCAGATGTCGTGGCAGGCACAGCATCGGGGAGCTGGAAGCTGAGAACTGGCGACTTTGTAGTACAACTTTAGTACCCGGAGTATGTGGCGAGCTGGAAGCTGAGAACTGGCGACTTTGTAGTACAACTTTAGTACGCGGAGTATCTGTGGAGCTGGAAGCTGAGAAGTGGCGACTTTGTAGTACAACTTTAGTACGCGGAGTATCTGGCGAGCTGGACGATGAGAACTGGCGACTTTGTAGTGCAGCTTTTAGTCCGCGGAGTATCTGTGGAGCTGGAAGCTGAGAACTGGCGACTTTGTAGTGCAACTTTAGTACGCGGAGCAATTTGTGAGCTGGCAGCTGAGAACTGGCGACATTGTAGTACAACTTTAGTACGCGGAGCAATTTGTGATCTGGAAGCTGAGAACTGGCAACTTTCTAGTACAACTTTAGTACGCGAAGCAATCTGTAGAGCTGGAAGCTGAGAACTGGCGACTTTGTAGTACAACTTTAGTACGCGGAGTATCTGGCGAGCTGAACGATGAGAACTGGTGACTTTGTAGTACAACTTTAGTACGCGGAGTATCTGTGGAGCTGG